CAGCAACCAACAGAATGCAAAAAAATTTTTGCAATCTAACCACCTGACAAAGGGCTAATATCCAGAATCTACAAAGAACTAAAACAATTTACAAGGACTCAAACACCGCAAGTTCTCACTCATAGGCCGGTGTTGAACAATGAGAACACATGGACCCAGGGAGGGGAGCATCACACACTGGGGTCTGTTGTGGGGGAATAAGGGAGGGACGGGTTGGGGTAGGGAGGTTGGGGAGGGATAACGTGGGGAGAAATATGACAGGGGGATGGAGGCAGCAAACCACATCGCCATGTATGTACCTATGCAACAATCCTGCATGATCTGCACATGTACCCCAGAATCTAAAGTGCAATAAAATAACCTGTAAAAGAGCTGTGTATATTTGCAATATAACTTTGCATTTTATATAAAATATACACAGCTCTTTTATAGGTTCTAGCTCTTTTATAGGTTCTCTTTCAATGTAGTGCTTCCTTATAACATTATACCTATTCTTAGAGCTTGAGTTGAATAAAGAAATTTTAAAACTTTGGAGTTATAAGGGATCTTAGGCATGATCTAGTTATTTTACAAATGAGCAGAAAATAGGTGAAATAGTTTAAGTGACAAACAAATTTGCAAAATTAGCTAATACAGAATAGCACCATAATCATAAAGGTGCCCAGGTCCCTAGGTCCCTACAGCTTTCGTTACACCACTCTGCATCTGTGGCTGTGTCAACTAGGCACATTAATCAAATAACAAGTATAATCAAAAGCCATTTACGAATTAGAGAAAACCTATACCATTGCAAACCCTTTTGGTGGTTGTCGCTGTTACTGTTGCTGTCAGTTCCTTCCAAGATGGAATGGCAGAGGGCATTCTGTTCAACAAACGTTCCTTGTGCTACACTTTCGGGTCCTTCTATAGTTCAATGGGGCCACGTGACTCAGTCTAGCCAATAAAGTATGTGTGAAAGTGACATGGGTCCCTTCTGGGCAGAGGCATTCAAGAGCTGGTGTGACGATTCCACGCTTTTGTTCCCTGACCCCAGAACTAGCAATGGCCTGGCACTGCCACAGTCTGGAAGGGACCTGGCTGGCTATGCTGAGTTACCACATGGAGGGGTCAACCGCTGCAGACTCAGATCATTTCAAGAACAAGACATGACCTTGTTACGCTAAGTGACTGAGATTTTTAGACGTCTTTTCTGTTGCAGTAGCTCATGCTTAATTACCCTGACACAGACAGCAGGCTAAATTACATACATAGGGCTGTGCATCTTGAAGTTGAGTACTGTAACAAATGTAATTAATATGACCCTAAATTACTAAACATAAACCCACTTAAAATATTTTTCTGTTATTTTTTATTTTAAAGTGATATGCTAAATCATATATTAAATTTAAGATGCATCAGGTGTAAAATCTGATTAAAGTCCTATAAAATTATCAATGTATAAAACACGCAATCATAATCAAATGCTAGGCCGGGCACAGTGACTCATGCCTGTAATCCCAGCACTTTGGGAGGCCAAGGCAAGTGGATCACTTGAAGCCAGGAGTTCAAGACCAGCCTGGCCAACATGGCAAAATCCCCTCTCTACTAAAATTAAAAAATTAGTTGGGCATGGTGGTGGACATCTATAATCCCAGCTACTTGGGAGGCTGAGGTACAAGAAATGCTTGAACCCAGAATACGGAAGTTGTAGTTAGCTGAGATCATGTCACTGCACTCTAGCCTGGGTGACAGAGGGAGACTCTGTCTCAAAAAATAAAAATAAAAAAATGCTGAATCAGGTTTCAAGCACTAATAACTTTTTCTAAAACAGGCAATATCCCCATGAATTGACTATACCACAGTCACTGCCTCAGTCTAGGACCTAGGTTTTTTTCTACATGGTAATCATACTCCATGAGAAATTCCTTTTGGCAATAGTTTCATGGAACTTCAAGTAAGCTTCGTTTTCATCCCTGAGTAGCAAGTGTCACCTTATTTCCAAAGCTACAAAAAAGTTTTTATTAGTACTATCGGATGTACCTCTTTCAATTTTACTATTTGCTATTATTTCCGTATCTCCACACATATTACAATAAGTCCATCTTTAATTAAAAGCCACAGACGGAATTTCACTTAAAGTCTCGTCTCTGTAATCCCAGTTACTCAGGAGGCTGAAGCAGGAGGACCACTTGAGGCCAGGAGTTCAAGAGCAGTCTCGGCAACAGTAAGACCCCATTTCTTGGGAAAAAAAAATAAAAATCCACATACTTAGCCAGGCATGGCATGCACCTGTACTCCCAGCTGCTTGAAACATGCAAGATGATCACTTGGGCCCAGAAGGTTGAGGCTGCAGTGAGCCATGTTCATGCCACTGCACTCCAGCCTAGGCAACAGAGTGAGACTCCATCGCTTAAAAAAAGGAGGAAAGAAGAAAAAAGCCACAGATGTCATTTTGGGGGAAGATTAAGAACGTAAAATTTGAATCTCTTCAAAGTATCCTCAAATCTCATGACTGTACCCGTAGTGATGTCAGTATAAGACTGTAGCAGAACATTTGGAAAGCGAGTTGTTAATTTCAGAGAAGATACTGTTCACCAGGTAGAGCTACTCACAGCAATAGCTACTTTACAAACTATAAGCATGATTACTTTGTGTTTCAGCAAGAACAGTTCAGCCAATTGTGGGGTGAATTCCCTGAGCCCACAATGTCCTAACTTTAAATTCATATCGAAAAACTTTTAGACATTTGGAACAGATTTTCCTGGATGCTTAGACATTTAAATGCAGCCAAAGCCTCTCTAAATAATAAATGAAATTAGGCAAGTTCCAATTACTATTACAGAATGACTATGTAAGATGAGGCTGCCCACATTTCTGAGACAATCAAGAATTTTGTCTTTTAAATGTTCCTCTAAAGTACATTTCCTTCCATTAGAAATGTGTACTTGGAAAGAATTTCATTATAATTCACAAAACCTGTTTTAACTAGGTGGTTGGCAGATTACTTATGCTTCATTTAAAGGTTTGGCTGCATATTTGTGAATCCGTAATACGCAGGATTTTTTTTTTAACTACAACACATCTGGCACATCCCTAGATTCACTTTATCATATATATATGTGCTGATTTTTAGGTTAATTTTCAATTTTTTTCCTATTTTACTGCACTGTATATTTTCCTTAAGTATCCTCAAACCTTCTGTATACCATGGGAGAATACAAATCCCCAATGAAGAGATAAAACAGTGCATTTGGCTGGATCAATAGTTTTTTTTGTTTTAAACCCTCATGAAGTCATTTTTTCTTGAATCTTGTGATTTATAATGGTCTAGAAAGCCTTCCCCACCCTGGGAACCTGGCAGGACCCTGACTAGGGCCTAAGTGCACACTTAGACAGCAATAAAACTCTCTGCATTCATTTTCTGTGACTGAGGGCTGCTGAACAAGAGCGGGAAATTACATGCTTCATAAACAGCAGTTACTATGACGTTACCATCCTTATCACCCTGGCCAACCTGCTGTCTCCCTGCGCACACGGAAGAGGCTCAGGAACAGTAGGCCACGGGGCAATGCCAGGAGTGGAAAAAGGTGGAAGCAGCACCCAGAATGAAAAGACAGATGCGCCCTGGATGGGATTTCCGAGTCGAACACAAACAATGCAAACTTCTCTATTTTCCCTGATTGCCTCCAAATCATTCTCAACCTTCGGCTAAATATCATTTCTTCAGGATGCCTCCCATGGCCTTGTGAATTAGGATGACTTCCCTTGCCAGTACTTCCTGGTATGGTCTTTTTTGTAATATTCAGGTAATCACTCAAAAATATTTACTGAGCACCCCCTATGTGTCAGGCACTGCTCTTGGGAATGTGGATACAACACAAATACAACTCTGCTCCTTTCTCCAGAGTTCCAGTCTCAGGTAATGACTTTCCAGTTCACCAATGTTCCTGACTGTCTGAACACCACTCCCTCCCTCACCTGTCACATTAAATGAGTTACTAGGACTTGCTGATTTTGACCTCTGGATTCTCTCTTGAATCGCACCTCTCTCCATCCCAATCGCCACCAACTCATGCCATCTACCCTCTCCCCCAGGAAATATTCCCACAGCCTCCATCAGGCTTTCCAGCCTGCAGTCCACCCCTCTCCAGCCCAACCCACATACCTGCAACTCGAGTGCCTAGAATGAACATCGGACCATGACACTTTCTTGCGTCAAACCTATCCGGGGTCCTCAATGTGTCTGACAGCTGGATCGCGGCTGACTTTTCTCCCTCGCTCCCATATCCTCCCATGTGTGCCCTGTGCTTCTGCCATCATGATCACTATTTGCAGTTCCCCACCTATGTTCTACTTTTTTTATGCCTAGTAATGACACCTACCATACATAGTTCCTGTCACCCACTTTGTGCTTAATACATATTTTTGGCTGAAAAGAATGAACACATGAAAGTGTTTGTATTTTGACACTTACTAGGCCTTCTGCTTGAATTGCCCTTTATCTCCAAATTCTCAATGTTTTCATCACATTTATATCTGGAGCCTAGGCACAGCATCTGTAACCTAGGAAATGCTGAATAATGTTTTCAGAATACATGGATGAACAAATGATTGACAGGCAAATCATCTACCTTAGCTTAGGACGTAACGTGGAATACAAGTAGGTAGAAAGCAATGATTTGCTCCTTCATGAAGACGCCCAAAAGCCTTTGCTAATTTCCTTCAGGAATATGAACAATGTAAGTCTTGAGAGGTAAAATCAGAATAAATTATTAGTGAGCCCAAGGAGAAGGCATGCCCTTCTTGTTTCATTTTGTTTTTAATTCAGCTGCTATTGATTGAGGTAGCATAAAGGTAACACTAGGTAATGGAAACAGAATTGCCCCGGGAGTCAGAGGACCTGAAGGAAATTCCAGTACTGACTCTCCCTCTAATTAGCTGTGTGGCCTGAATTCAGCTGTATCAGAAGCAAGCCCACCCCCCTGGAACTCCTATTATGTGAGCAACTAAAATCCCTTTCCTTTTGCTTTAGCTGGGTTTCTGACTCTTGGAAGTAAAATAGTGCTGACTAACCTCCCATTCTTTTTTTTTTTTTTTTTTGAGACGGAGTTTCGCTCTTATTACCCAGGCTGGAATGCAATGGCACGATCTCGGCTCACCGCAACCTCTACCTCCTGGGTTCAAGCAGTTCTCCTGCCTCAGCCTCCCGAGTAGCTGGGACTACAGGCACGCACCACCATGCCCAGCTAATTTTTGTATTTTTAGTAGAGATGGGGTTTCACCTTGTTGACCAGGATGGTCTCGATCTCTTGACCTCGTGATCCACCCACCTCGGCCTCCCAAAGTGCTGGGATTATAGGCGTGAGCCACCGCGCCTGGCCTAACCTCCCATTCTTATCATCACTTATGGTTGCATTTACTGGGAGGGTAGGCCAGAAAATGCCATAGATAAAGCACATTATGACTATAGCAAAGCACTTGGCTGAAGTTCCTATAATTTACTTGCAAAAGAGAAAAGAGGGCTCAACTGCTTATTGAGATGGATCTAAAACTTGTTGAACCTTTATATGCAAAAAATTCTGATTAATGAATGTGTACACATGGAAAGGGGTGTCTTGTATCATCTTACCAACCCCCGCACCTGTCCCTGTTCTATTTATAGTTCTTAGCAGCCACTCAGAAATAAGAGGGGTGCTTTTGAGACTTCTAGATCCCTCAAAGCTAGAAGAAATCATTAATATAAGAGAGGCATGAGTCAAGATTCACCAGATTAATAAGGAAAACAGAGAAAAGGCATGGTTAGGGCCAGAGGTCTCTGAAATGACCCTTTTCCTCTGTTATCCCCCCAAATACATTTAGAGGCATTACCTGGCTTAGGAAATGAGGCTCCTCTGTTTTCTTCTTTGGTTTTTATACCTTATAATGAAGTTTCTTGTCTGCTTGTGTATTTTTATCCTACTTTTGTGCAGTTTCTTAATTGTAACTGTACTAAAATTATTTGGGAAACTTGCTCATTTGTGATTAATTAGCTTTTTTGATTATTGTGTGTTTAGGACCCTTGTGCCTTTAGGCATGTGCACCTGAAAATTAGAATGTATTAATACGAACATAATGAAATCAAAATGATTTTATGTAACTGCATGATTTATACTTATTCAGGAAGTTATTTAAGTATAATTTATCGGTTAGTTCTCACAGCACAAATGCTTTCCTTCTCCTCATTTTCTCTTTTTCTCCTGTAGGAAAATTTCAAGATCTCTTAAATACCTTCTCATGTACCAAATCTTGTCTCGGCATCTATCATGTTCTTGCTTCTGTCCCTCTACTGCTCCTCTCATGCGCTGGTTTGACTAAAAGTTGGACCAATCTGGGGTGAGAGTGTGGGACATTTGTACCATCTGGCCTCTCATTCTCCTTCCTGTGTCTTGAGAGAGAAGGGAAGCTCGGTCCCCTCTGAGCTCAGGAGAGAACACGGGAGACAACTCTGGCTTCGATCCTCAGGCCCTCCCACACCCTGTTGAGGAAGGGAGGGAGAGGAGGAGATCCCATATCAGGCCCACTGGTGGGTTCCACCCAGCACAGATGGGCACTCCTAGGCATCTGCCCCGCCATTAATAAATATCAGCTCATCTCCCATTGGCTCATTACGTTTCCGAGTTCAGCTCCTCGCCGAAAGGACAAGAGGACCAGATGGGGGTGGGTGGGGCTCAGAAACAAGGCTGGGAACCCAGTCTGCTGCATGTGGGGTCAAGCTCATCACTGTTTCATCACTCACCTACTCGCTTCTCACTCGGCCAACACTGGTTAGTGTGCTAGCTCTCTAGGCACAGGGGCTGCGAAGGTGAGTGAGACACGGGCTCCACACTCAAACAGCTCACAGTCCTCTCATGTGCTCAGCAGGCACCTCGTGCCCACCATGTGCAAGGCCGTGGGGAGCTTAAACACTACAGGGAAAGACAGCCAGAGGGGCAGAAGAAAGGGTCAGAGAAACGCTCTCTGAGGTCTGAAGGGGGAGGCTGCTTCAGCTCCGTAGCTCTGACAGGGTTCCCTGGAAGGAGGCAGGCCAGGGTGGTGCCCTGCAGGGAGAGGGCAAAGGGACCAGGCAGAGTCTCCCCTAAGGAGTCCACTAACTCATCTGCCACCCCCGAGGAAAAATGACGTTTCACTCTACAGATAGCCATAGAATCACTGAACTAAAAAAAAAAAAAAAAAAAAATTTAATGAGGCAAAATCTTTAAGCAGAAAAGGGGGCAAAAACCAAACAAACAAACCAAAAAACCCTCCACACCCTGGCCTTTGGTTGTCCTATAAAAATCTAGCAGTACTGCCTTCTTGCCACCTATCCAGATGACACTCTCCTTCATCCCCAGCCCAACACGGGTGGGCCTCACAAAATGCAAAGCTAAAATTACACTTAACACCACCATAAAGAGCTCCACATTAAATGAGAAAACAAAATTGGGCGACATAATGTATTTTGAGTAAGAGGAAAATAAACCAGAAACGATGTGTATATATAAACATGTAGAGGAGTGTGCATATGCTATGTGTTGGTATATATAGATGTTGTGTTGTGGATAATGTTCTTCCCAGTAACCTGTTTTTTAAAAAACAGCACACTCCAGCAGGTATCCACATAAAGAAGCCACCCACTTTTCTGCAGAGACCACAGTCCTGACGCTCAGCCTGCCTGCTGAGCTTCCATGGCTCTCCTGTGCTGGTGCCAAGCTAGATGGACGGCCCTCTGGACATCCTTTTCTCCCTCATCATCCACTCCTTGGAAAAGCAAGCCACTCGCAAGTGGCTGGGACCTCTCGTCCCTACACCGTGCCCATCAAGTCTGCCTCTCATCTTCTGGGCTGCACTGGCATTGTAAAAACAGGGGCCAACTCTGTCCTACCAGGAACAGCTCACTTTCCCAGTGTGCTCACTGAGATTTCTGTGTGACAATTTCATCAGCTAGAGGATGTGAGCTGGGAGCCATTCACCAGACAGAGGGCTACTTCTCATAAACTGTTCTGTTTCTCTATCTGCATACGCAAGCCTACTATCACCCTAGAGCTCCACGCCAAGGAATGCTGGGGCAGGAGAACCTGGGAAAACCTGGAAGTTTAGCATCTCAGGAAGAAAGTGTTGTCAGCAATTCTGAGTGGGTGAATGAAATCTCGATTATGAGGTTAACAGCCTTTACCTAATGTCTACTTCGATTCTCTAAGGTTAAAAATGTTTTTTCATCCCTCCTCTCGGGTTGGCAAACTATGGCCCTTGGGGCAAACACAGCCACATGCAAGCATGGATGTATTGTCACCGGTTGCTTTCACACTACCATGGCAGAGCCGAGTAGTGACAATTATCAACTGGAGGCCAGCCCACAAAACTCTAAGTGTCTACTATCTGGCCCTTTATAGAAAATGTTTGCTGACTCCTGCCTTTATATTTGCCACTAAATACTGTCGTTTCTTCCTCTGAAAGTCTTCATGATTTCTCAGTGCTCTCTCTTTTCCAACGATAGTACTATGATTCAAACTCTCTCCCCATCTCAGAGCGGGATAGCTTCCCAATCCAGTCTACCCTGCGTGCGGCTGCCTGGCTGTCCTCCTGTCACGTGCTGAATCTCCTCAAACCCATGCCCGAGAACATACATGCTCTTAGTGACCACCAGACCAGTCTCCTAATGTTACCTTTCAGGGCCTCCAATTCAGGCTTGGGTCTCATTTCTGCCATGTCCCCATTGGGCCAGTGCCCTCCCCATGGGCACACCCACGCTTTCCTCCGCTGCTGGGTGGGCTTCAGCAGCTCCTCCACCCCCTCTGCCAGCTCTGCTCCCTTTCCCCAAGGAGATCTCCTGCTGATCCACAGACTCCCTCTGGTCTCTCCGCATCCTGCCCTCTGCTTCAGTCCCTGTTCCCATGTGTTCACTTACTCGTGGCTCGCTTCTTGATGAATTATCTGCTCATCTTACAGATTCCAATGGTAACAAAAAATAAATAAGGACAAAGACTTCAAGAAAGATTCTGATGAGAGGAATCCGTGTTGGGGGATGATCCCCTCGGAGACGTGGTATTCAAAACTATATTAGATCTCAACATGGGGATCGCCTACACGCCAGGCGAAAACCCCCATCTTGGCGCACACTGCTCTTATGGTTTATATCCCTGACTTAATTGCTTTCCAAGACATTTCACATTTTTGCCTTTTATCTCCTCAAAGATTTAAAAACTCCCCATTAGAATATGCATATATATTGCAGTGCTAGACAATAAGTAGAGGAACTTAATAACTTATTGTGAGACATAAAAGTACACCTTACTTTAATAAAAGTTCATACTTTGTTCCCTTTCTCTATGTGCATATGAAAACCCAGAACCCTCAGTCACTTGCTTACCCGACATTTTGAAATTGGGAAGAAAAAGACTTTCTCCTCCCTTGGGGCATATGCCTTGGCCACACATCCCATTTGCATGGTCAGGTTTTAACAGGCTACACGTTTATAAATACATTCTTATACACCTCCAGGTTTTTCTCCCCTGGTCTCTGCTTCTCCTTTGTCCCTCTGCTCCCTCGGGTCTTCTGTGTGCCATCATGGTGTGCCAGCAGTCTGACCCACTAGCCAGGAGGCCACTGAGAGGAGGGCTGGGACGCTGGAAAATGAGCCTCATTTAGAAATTAAGCTCAAATTACAATTTCCGCCTCTCTTGAAAGTTTTTACCATTGACAATGCACAGCTCGGCCTCCCCTTTGCATTCTCTTAAAACCATGGTGGGCCCCTGCCTTCCACCCCAGCCTGCCAATTACACACTCTTACCTGGGGACTTTTACTTTTAACTGCTTTTTGCAGACATAAATGAAAGTACTAAAAATTAATAGCAGAAAGGAGATGAAAAGCAACATGCTTCAAACTCCTTTTCAGCCATTACAAATCAACAGGAGCTAAACATCAGCCTTTTTCTTTAAAAAAAAAAAAAAAAAAAAGCTTCCTCTTTATGAACAGATAAAACATACGTAGGAGAGAATACCTCAAACCCCAAATAGGTTATGAGCATAAAATTTTAAGTTGTGTGCCCAGTTCCTAAATAAATGTCACCAGTGTGACCACACTTAACGATGGAAAGTTAGGCATGGCAGAGTTTTAAGCAACTGCTGTCGTTAACCACACTGTTAATGTGTTAGAAGCCATCACTTTTTTTGCTGCCAAATTCTGAAGCCTCTGTCTTTGAAAAACTGCAAGCACTGTATTCACAGAGATGGTAGGTGGCAGAAAGGGGTTAAAGAGGTTAGGTGCCTGTGTGAATCAGTTTTTAGAAAGATCTGAAACTCCAAACAGCAGTGTGCATGCACTCAAATGTGCAAAACTGGAAAAAGTCATCCTATGTTGAAAAATCAAAGCCATTTACAGTAGACACGCATCCAGGAAAGGGGGCCAGTCTTTAAATATATAGTTAGCCTTTTAGCCTCTCTCTGTGAAAAACTCTGGATTGCCAAGAGCAACAATGAAGATTTATTGTTATGCTCAGATTTCCCCTGCTATCCTATTGTTCACTAACTTTCAGAACGATTCTCCATCTAGCTGTTTTCATGAATGCCACAATGAGCAAGCACTGAAGCAGGTGACTTTTCTCACCACTTGCCATGTCTATTAGCTAAATCTGCTGTCCCCTCAAAGCAGATCCTTCCCAGGCTCAAGCATCTTAATGTAACGTTATTAAGGTTTGTACACGCTAGGTGTTCACAGAGAGACACCCATCTGCAATCTTAGGCACTGGTGGGAGGTGCTAGAGAAAAACCAAGAAGCTTCTGCACTGATCCCAGCCAAAACATGGGGAGGGAACCTGCAGATGTGTAAACAGAAAACAATTTGCTGGTTAAGAGGCTGTGCCCAGCCTTACTCTCGCTAGCTGCCCATTTGAATGTTGGACTAACAATGAGCGGGGCATTCAGGAATCTTGAGAGTCGAGGTTCAGGTTTCATTTTCCACTCACAGTGGGATGCCTCCATTCTGCTGGCCTTGTGTTTTCATCTATTAAAAAAATTCCATTAGAGTGACTCTCCTCACCCTGCACCCTGCCCTTTACGGGGTCTCCTGGGAGCTCAATACTCCCTAAGAGGAGCAAGTTACTTGCTGGTCCATATTTCTGGATGAGGCAGAACTGATCGACTAGAAGACCTTAAAGTTGGGAATGGCTTTCTTGCCGTGTTCTCCACTGGGACAGCTGAGAGTCTTCGCTTGTTATGCAGATCCCGCCATTCCCCAGGTTGGACTGGAGGGGAGGGAGGGAGAGCAGGCCCTCTGGATATAGATGTAAAGTCATGTGATCCAATAGCTGAGGAGAAATAAAGCTGACATTCTCTTTCCTCCACCTGTTTCAATGTCTTAATTTGCTTAAAACTCAGATGGGGAAGAAAAGACTCTTTCGGTTGCCAAAACCAAGTAAACTTCAATTTACAATAGCAAAAGGTTAATTTATTATAAAAATGTTTATGATATCATAATGGCTGGTGGAACTGAAGGGGAGCCTTGGGAAAAAAACACTCAGGATATCAAACAAATGCCATTTTCATTCTGCATGTGCTGTCTTCCTTTTCTGTTTGCAGGCTGGCCAGCTCTGCTTCTCAAGTGCAAAGTTGAGAAACATGATCGTTCAATGTGCTCAGGCATCGCATCCTACAGCTTCAGCCACTGAAGACAGACAGTACTCTTAGTCTTAAATCCAAAATTCCCTGGCAAAAATTGTGATTGCCTCCACAGTCAGGGGACCAGTCCTGAACAGACTACTGTCCAGGTTGGAGTGGAGCTACTCAATTAAGAAAGCGGGACATGGTAGCTGGACATCACTAAGGCACAACAGGAACTGAGTATCAAGCTGGAGGAGCGAAGGAAGCTCCCAGGGGCTAAGCTGCTGGGCTTCCAAGCCTTTTCCATCTCATCTCAACATCTGGAATTCTACCATGTTTCAAACCTAAAGATTCACAAAAGCTATTAATAAATATCATAGCCATATAATTTATCATTCACACCAAGACACTTCTGAGAGTGAAAGTGGGTACCACAAATAATTAAAATTGTATTATTTTGAAATGTCTATTTATTGACTAACAAACCGGTTTTCTCATAATGATGGATCTAGAGAATCACTCTTAATTCAGAAACTATTTTCAAAACTAAAATTCTTTCTTTAAAAAATGTCCAAGCCAGGCATGTGGATTGCACCTGTGATCCCAGCTACCTGGGACACTGAGGTGGTGATGGCCACAGTGAGCCGAGATTGTGCCACTGCCCTCCAGCCTGGGTAACAGAGAGAGACCCTACCTTAAAAAAGAAGAAATAAAAGCCCATATACATTAAGGCAAAATATAAAAACTTTATATTCTTTACATTCTTTATATTAATTTTATAGATATTTAAAAGTCATATAAATGTAGTTGGTCGGCGGGGCGAGGTGGCTCACGACGGTAATCCCAGTACTTTGGGAGGCCGAGGTGGGTAGATCACAAGGTCAGGAGTTCAAGACCAGCCTGGTGAAGATAGTGAAACCCTGTCTCTACTAAAAATACAAAAATTAGCCAGGTGTGGTGGCAGGCACCTGTGGTCCCAGCTACTCAGGAGGCTAAAACAGGAGAACTGCTTGAACCCGGGAGGCGGAGTCTGCAGTGAGCCAAGAGCATGACATTGTGCTCTAGCCTGGGTGACAGAGTAAGACTCCGTCTCAAAAAAAGGAAAAAAAAAAAAAAAAGTAAGTGGACTTGGCTCTTGGCATATATTTACATACCTTGATGAGTTTTATAGCTGTATGTTTTGAATTCTGTCCTGGTATTTCTCTAAAAGTATTTGTTTTCTATATGAACTTGGTATTGATAATTTTTGTCAACCTTCCTTAATGTTGCGTTTTGTGCAACTTGAAGTTGTTGACATCTTCAATGGATTCTTCTGTGAAGACCACACTATTTTAATTTTTGAAAACACCTAAGGGTAAGTGATAAGCTCAGAGCAAATCCTGCCAAAGGAAAACATTCTCAATTCTTTTCTTGTCTTTTTTTTTTTTTTTTTTTTTTTTTACTGGAAAGCATAAATATTTCATTCCCGATATTTTTAAAGGAACTGTCTTTTTGGTTCCACTCAGAGTATAGGTATTTAACGAAAACTTTAACAAGATCAAGCTTTTCATGCTCATTGTCTCTCTTTACTATTTTTTTGAATGTCTGACCAAATGTGCATGATGCAATATTACAAGCCTTTTCAATTTCATTCCATTGTGCTACAGAATAAAAATTTATCCAGTAAAATACAGAAGTCTCATTAAAAAATTGTTTCCATGATATAGCTGCTCTAAGTAAAGATGATACAATTCTGAAATTAAATTTTGTGTACCTACTATTGGGCCTTCATCATATAATTTGCTCACTCCCTACTCTGCTTTTGTAAGGACATATGGCAGTATCTTTTAGTTTGCAGGCCATGGTTTTAATAATGGCAAATCTCTAAAAGCTGCCTATGCTGAAGTTTCTGATGCTCCATTAATTGAATAAGATTTCCACTTGATTTGAGGGAAAAAAATGCAGACAAGATTTAAAGGATTCATACACTCAATAACAGTGTAGGATAGTTACAGTGAGATACAAAGAAGCTTTTCAAAGGCTGACATAGTTCTAAAACGTGACCAATGATGGGGCAAAGAGAGCAAGTGTGTTCTTGCCATAGTGAGGTGTAATTTTGTATTTAACTTCAACCTTGTTGAAAAAAACTTCTGTAGTTCAATAACTCTGTGTAAATACAGGTATTGATCGACTTACCACCTATGCAACTTACGACCATTCGACTTTACGACTCCAATCGCTAGCCACGACTGCTCCGCGTCTGACAGCGCAAACGTTGCCCAGCTGGGCGTACGACACTGCGGACCAGCTTCCGACAGCACTACCATCTCCGCGTGCACCATTTCAACTGTACATATAGCCTAATCAACTTACTACCAAATCGTGTTATGGCCGGTCCGTGGTCCCGACCGTGGTCGTAAGTCAAGCACTAGCTGTATATAAATATCTGTACATTTTTACAACTGTCACTTCTAATTCTAAGGGTACAATATCACGACTTGTTTGGATACAATTATCGATTATAGGTACATTCTGTATTTAATGATTTTACAAAACACATTTCATATTATATACTTATGTATTTTATTTAAATATCTTAATTAATTTCTTTTAAAAATCATATGTACTAGGCCAGGCACAGTGGCTCAAGCCTGTAAACCCAGCACTTTGGGAGGTCGAGGTGGGCAGATCTCCTGAAGTCAGGAGTTTGAGACCAGCCTGACCAACATGGAGAAATCGTGTCTCTACTAAAAATACAAAAAAATTATCTGGGCGTAGTGGTGCATGCCTGTAATCCCAGCTATTCAGGAGGCTGAGGCAGGAGAATCACTTGAACCCAGGAGGCAGGGGTTGCGGTGAGCTGAGATGGCACCATTGTGCTCCAGCCTGGGCAACATGAGTGAAACTCCATCTCAAAAAAAAAATCATATGTACTTACAGTATACAATAAGATGGTTTAATATATATATATATATATACATACACACATAGTGAAGTGATTACTACAGCCAGGCAAATTAACATAGCCATCATCTCACAGTTATCTTTCTCTGCATGTGCATGCGTGTGTGTATGTGCATGTGTTAAGAAGACCTAAAATCTAATCTCTTAGCAATTTCTAATATACAATATAATATAATTGATCACAGCTCTTGTGGTCCTTGTGCTGTACTTTATAATTGCAACTTCGTCTCTTTTGACCTATATCTTTCCATTTTTAATATTTTATTTACTGTTTTATTAAAATGTTTTATTTTCTATATTTTAATTTTTTAAATTATGAATTACATATACATATATCTCACCATCAATCCAGGCATATTTCTGCTACACATTTCATATTTTAGTGAGGATGTTGTTTTTATTAAAACATTGTTCTCCAAGAAATTTTCATATATTATTAAGAAATAAATAATTCAATCATGAACACTGAACTTTTTGAATGAATTTATAATCACAAACACCATTAGGTGTGTTACCTTTGACAAAATGAACTTCCAAAAGCATTCCTCTGATCCCATGAATCATATTAAGAAAACAAAAAAAAACTGGAATTAACTAATTTTCTATGTGAAGTATCTGATGAGATGGCTGTGATATAAAACTGACAGGATAACTTAGCTGTTTGCAAAGTTCTTTTGCTAACTGAGCTAAGATATTAAAAGTTACATCTACATTTTTACATGTCTGCAAGAAAACCTGAACTCCAGAAAGAACGAAATTATCTTAAAATGAGAGTTATTTGGCCTAAACGAAAAGTCATTCTTTGAAACTAATATGCAAAACTGCTGCATGTGTTTGTTACACTCTCATCTTTGAAATTTTAAAAATTAATAAATTGTAAAGCTTTCTTCAATAGATTTTTTCTTTTAGGAATCTGGTCAGTGATATTGTTATAACTTTTATGTGAATGGTAAATACTGACAAGTTACATATTCAATATCAACTTTCTAGACGAATCTAGTAAGCCATTTCTCCTTAAAAAGGTGCTTTTGGGGAGAGTAATTGCTACCAAAAGGGTTTATTGAAAAATTAAAAAAAAAAATTACCAAAAAGTAAAATAAATGAATTGCTTCAGATGTATACCCTATACAATGTGACAAATCCTTGCAGTAAGGGCATGTCAACTATTCTCTTGATCTATAGGTTCTAACACAGAATGGCTCACCTCTCTCTAACACATATTTTAAAGTATAATTTGCTATAATTCTCACTGTTTCATCCGACTAAAGGCCAGTGGCCCCTGCACTTTGCAAACTATGGAGTGGTCCACGGCACAGCTGGCTGTCAGACCACAAGGCTGGCTGGGGTAGCAGTATCAAATACTCCTCCTACACCGTGCTGGACTGGGAGGAGTTCACTGCCCCAGCCACTGGTGTCTCAGCACACTGTTTTATCAAGAGCACCTGCATACTTCATTCAAGGAGGTAATGGCTCGGCTGCACGGTGACAGGCTTGAGAGAAGAGAAGACGGTCATTGCTGGACAGATTGAGATTGCACTGGGAACTCTGTTCACTGCACACGCATCTCACGTGTAACTGGAGGGGCACCCTGGCAAGTTCAAAGTGAAAAGCAAAGGTCTATCAAGCCCATTCCGCCATACTTTTAGGCAACCCATAATGATGATACTTTATTTTAAAAAATGAGAAACGAGCTGAGTGTGGTGGTTCACACCTGTAATCCCAGTGCTTTGGAGGTCGAGGCAGGTGGATCACTTGAGGTCAGGAATTCAAGACCAGGAATTTGGCCACCATGGCAAAACCCCGTCTCTACTAAAAATACAAAAGTTAGCTTGGCCTGGTGGTGCATGCCTGTAGTCCCAGCTACTTAGGAGGCTGAGGCATGAGGATCACTGGACTGGGAGGTGGAGGCTGCAGTGAGCTGACATTGAGCCACTGCACACCAGCCTGGATGACGGTGAGATTCCATCTCAAAAATAATAATAATAATAATTAAAATAAAATTAAATAAAAAATGAGAAACTCAAGACAATGCTAATTAGGAAGGTTAAAGGCATTAACTGGGACTGTCCTGGACAAACGGAGATGTGTAGTCAGCTGTCAGTTAATGACTGTGCTAAGAAAATGTAATTAACATAGCTAAAAGTTGAGCACTTACCACAAGGCACACGCTAAGAGCTTGACAGGAATATCTTTTTCAATATGCCCACAATGAGCATATCTCTGAAATAAGTGTTATTTTCTTCATTAGACTTATTTCCTTTGTTTATCTTGAGTACAAGTCTGAGGTAATGCAGGTACTACCTGAAGTCTTTGAGGTTTAGATACTAGATGATGAGTAGCAATATTCATTCATATCATATTTACATCTGCTGATGGGTCTGTCTAGCAACACTAATCCCTTCTTTTGATAAGCACAGTCCAGTTTTCTCTGGGTGAATGAATCCTGTGTTTGTTAATCACTGCATTCCCCCTTATAGCCACATGTCCCAAAATAAGAACAAGACCAGACCTGGCATCTCTCTCCAGGTATTTGAAGCCTGACTGGAATGTCACAAGGACGGAAAATGTTTTGTTCCAAGTCATTCCAGTGGCACTACCTTGAAGTGGCTGTCCTAGATACCAGAACTACCCTGTTCTTATCCTTTATCATTTCAACTCTTCTACCACTTCTGTGAATTACCCAGTG